TGGTATTATGCTTCCAGAACATGATATGCTTTCAAAATACAATACTATGCTTTCGGCATATATTATNGCTTTCAAAATACAATACTATGCTTTCAGCATATGATATTATCTTTCAAAATATGATACTATGCTTTCAACATATGATATTATGCTTTCAAAATATGATACTATGCTTTCAATATATGGTATTATGCTATCAAGACATGATATGCTTTCAAAACAAATACTATGCTTTCAGCATATGATATTATGCTTTCAAGATATATTATGCTTTCAAAATATGATACTATGCTTTCAATATATGGTATTATGCTTCCAAGACATGATATGCTTTCAAAATACAATACTATGCTTTCAGCATATGATATTATGCTTTCAAAATATGATATATGCTTTCAAGAAATGATACTATGCTTTCAATATATGATATTATGCTTTCAAAATATGATACTTTGCTTTCAATATATGGTATTATGCTATCAAGACATGATATGCTTTCAAGACATGATATTATGCTTTCAAGACATGATATTATGCTTTCAAGACATGACATTATGCTATCAAAATATGATATTATGCATGCAAGACATGATATTATGCTATCAAGACATGATATTATGCTAATAAACATAGGCTTTCAAACTTACATGTAAGTCAGTAAACCTTCATCTGATACAACAGCATTTTTACAAGAACCATAAGTAACATTATTATAACTAGACCTTTCAGGCTGAAATACAATAACACCATTGTTTTCTGGCTGGTAGATCTCTATTCCAGCTGTCATTGTCACTTTGAAATATGAAACTATGTTATGCATTTGTCTACAATTTCATAACATGGTAGACAGTTTTAAGATATTTCAACATTTTAATATTTATTGGTAAATTTCTATTAGAGCCATCTGTCTTACATCTGTCTTACTTTTAAAAATGAAAATGTGTTGTGCATTTGTCTACAATTTCATAAGATAGAGACCCTTTTCAGAGAAGTTTTTCTCTAATATTTGCTAGTAGATCTCCATTTGGCCTATTACTTTTCAGAAATAAAATCATGAAAGAAATTCAGAACGATTATTTTGTTCTAGCAGTCAGTGGCGGAGTCAAAGGGGGGGCAGAGGGGGCAGACGCCCACCCGCGTAGCCCCGAAAGCATGTTTTTCGGGCAAAAATCTCATAACTAGATTAAAGATTCAGGCAATCTCAGATATCTCAACGTAAACCTGGCTCAGCCTCTGCTAGCAGTTATTATAAATATTTACATAATTCAATGAAAAACAGTTAAAAGCATTAGCATACTGAATTTTTAGAACACCAATGTGCTGCTTGATTGGTGAATTCTGCACGTTAGGGATTCATGAACCGGATGTTCGAAAAACAAGTTGGTACATGGTTTATAGAGCATTTCACGTGTGCCAAAAGAGCAGACAAGAATTCAAAATGGCCGAGAAGGAAATAGATGGGAAAATTTTGAATGTGACATATTTGCTTCCGTATCATTCGATTGAGGACAGAATTGGAATAGACGGAACCTGTACAGAACTCTCCAATCAAGCCCCACTCTAATTTCGATAAGGCACTCAAATTACCTCAGTGATTACAGTGAGTCCATTACTCTTAACTGTTTCAAAATGGCATTTCTCCCTACCTGAGCTCTGAAGAAATTCATTATCTGGAGCTTCTGTCCAATTGAGTGCATACCAATCAAAAATACACATTTTTCTGAACTCTTATGTCTGAAGGTTACGGTTGAACCAACCTGAAATATTCCAGAAGCACATCAATGATAAGCATATACACCTTTAAGGGACGAGTTGTACCAATTGTACCTTAGAAACAGGAATTCTTTACCTAAGCTAATCAGTAATAGTGTTCACAGCTCACAGTTGAAATCTGAGACTTCAAATCCATTCATGAAAAATTAACCGTTATTTCATCAGATTGTCATATATAGAAAGACCATTTATAAAAATAGAAAGTAAAATTCCTAGTTTGATGTATTTGCGAAGGAATTGTGCAATTTTGTACATATCTAGTACTTTTTAAGACTATTTACATAATTATATTAAAGACTCAAATAAACCCCCGAACCTGTCCCTTTAAGCTGTGTAATGACCACAACTGTAGCAGCAATTCATTTTTCCAAATTTTTGGGGTCTTAAACAATTTTACAGGTTTTTTTTAGCCATTCAAAATACCGAGGTAAAACCTGGTTGGCTACCAATTGTAGACAAGTCAGTAAGATCGTTTGAAACTTTACAAATGGTGCATGGCCTAGGTTCTAATCTCATTTGACTTGTGAAAGTAAATGGTACAGATAATCAAGATCATTGCCAAGAAGCTGGGCCAAAGGCCAGACAAGATGGTAGAAAGGGTCCTTTGGAACCTAAGTAGTTATCCTCGTAAATTCGGACATGATTAGCCAGCCAGTCAACTTGAGAGAAAATAACAAATAAAGTTAAACTCACAGCCAGTCCATTTTTAAACCAATTTATAGAAACCTTGTCTCCATTTTCAATATATTCTGATTTAAAACCACTGACAACCATCTGTATTTCATCACCTACTTTCCACTTGTCACCAAATGTTGTACCTTGACCTTTCTCATGATACAGGCTTAAATGAGAAATTGAAAAAAATGTATTGACCAATCTTCCTCAGCTTACTGGGTAAATAGGGTTGAGAAACGCTATATTGTCGGGTTGGGAAAATCGGAAGAGAATTCTAGGGACCGTTGTTTTCAGAGGTCAAATAAGGTGCCATGCATGAGTTTGGTCGGGGTCAGTCTGAAATACTGTTTTTTAGGTCATGGCACCAGCTATTTTCAAAATGGCCATTAAACATGTTTTCTAAATGAACATTTTGTAGTTTTCTCAATTGCTATTGCCATATATGGTGTGTAATATGTATCTTTCTAGGTCACTGATATGGAAAATTAGTGCTTTGAGTTGATCAGGTTGATGGAAGCAATTTTGTTTTTTTCAAAATGGCCACCAAAATGAATACTTTCTGGTTTGTATGAAGGGAATTTGCTTAGACAGTAACTCTAACGAAAAAGAACAATTTCATGAGATCCCAATAAAATAACGACAAAAACAAAAGTAAGACTGTTTATATTATACGAAAACTGAAAGAAATTTGAATTGGAAGAATTTATAAAGATGTCTACTTACTACCCATCATCTCCATGATAAGCTACAGAACTGGATCTCCAACCAGGAGCATCACCAGACGGGTAATCTTGTCGTCCAATACCCAATGTCATATTTGCCTTCTGACCAACACTTAGTATTCTAATAGTAACAGTATTGTGTTTACGTCCAACACTTACATTACTAAAGAACATGGCTCTACCATCAGTCCTCTGCTTCCTTAAAAGAAAATAAAAAACTTTATAACTTTCACACTTTTTAGGCCCCTTCTAGTCTAGCATAAAGTTTTTTGGACAATTATAAGTTGTTCTATTCAGTCAGGCTTTTTTTCTCAGACACCAAAAAGATTGTAGGGAAAACCACAGAGTAATTCACATAATAGTAAGGATTTATACGGGGTAGAGAGGGGGGGGGGAGGGGGGTTAATGTCACCAATCAAGGGGAAAGCGGTATTAGAAAGGTTGAAAACCCCTGCAATAACATGATGTATTCAATATCTTAAAGAGTTTGAGTATATTTGAGAATATCAAAGTATTCTGTATCTTTTAGAATATTAGAGCAGTCAGTTTCTTTTAGAGTATTCTATATCTTTTAGAATATTAGAGCAGTCAGTTTCTTTTAGAGTATTCTATATCTTTTAGAATATTAGAGCATTTAGTATCTTTTAGAATATAAGAGTATTCAGTATCTTTTAGAATATTAGAGTATTCAGTATCTTTTAGAATATTAGAGCATTTAGTATCTTTTAGAATACAAGAGTATTCAGTATCTTTTAGAATATTAGAGTATTCAGTATCATTTAGAATATTAGAGCAGTCAGTTTCTTTTAGAGTATTCTATATCTTTTAGAATATTACAGCAGTCAGTTTCTTTTAGAGTATTCTATATCTTTTAGAATATTAGAGCAGTCAGTTTCTTTTAGAGTATTCTATATCTTTTAGAATATTAAAGCATTTAGTATCTATTAGAATATAAGAGTATTCTGTATCTTTTAGAATATTAAAGCATTTAGTATCTTTTAGAATATAAGAGTATTCAGTATCATTTAGAATATTAGAGTATTCAGTATCATTTAGAATATTTAGTATTCAAAACCTTTAAGAATATTAGAGCATTTAGTATCTTTTAGAATATAAGAGTATTCAGTATCTTTTAGAATATTAGAGTATTCAGTATCATTTAGGATATTAGGGTATTCTGTATCATGTAGAATATTTAGTATTCAAAACCTTTAAGAATATTAGAGAATTCAAAACCTTTTAGAATAAAAGATTATTCAGTATTTTTAGAATATTAGAGTATTCAGTATTTTTTAGAATATTAGAGTATTCTGTATCTTTTAGAATATTAGAGTATTCTGTATCTTTTAGAATATAAAAATATTCTGTTTTTTCAGAATAATAGAGTATTCTGTATCTTTTAGAATATTACAGTATTCTGTATCTTTCAGAATATGAGACTAATCTGTATCTTTTAGAATATTAGAGTATTCTGTATCTTTTAGAATATTAGAGTATTCTGTATCTTTTAGAATATTAGAGTATTGTATATCTTTTAGAATATTAGATTATTCTGTATCTTTTAGAATATTAGAGTATTCTGTATCTTTTAGAATATTAGAGTATTCTATATCTTTTAGAATATTAGATTATTCTGTATCTTTTAGAATATTAGAGTATTCTGTATCTTTTAAAATATTAGAGTAGTCAGTATCTTTTAGAATATTAGAGTATTCTGTATCTTTTAAAATATTAGAGTAGTCAGTATCTTTTAGAATATTAGAGTATTCTGTATCTTTTAGAATATTAGAGTATTCTATATCTTTTAGAATATTAGATTATTCTGTATCTTTTAGAATATTAGAGTATTCTGTATCTTTTAAAATATTAGAGTAGTCAGTATCTTTTAGAATATTAGAGTATTCTGTATCTTTTAGAATATTAGAGTATTCTATATCTTTTAGAATATTAGATTATTCTGTATCTTTTAGAATATTAGAGTATTCTGTATCTTTTAGAATATTAGAGTATTCTGTATCTTTTAGAATATTAGAGTATTCTGTATCTTTTAGAATATTAGCGTATTCTATATCTTTTAGAATATTAGAGTATTCTGTATCTTTTAGAATATTAGAGTATTCTGTATCTTTTAGAATATTAGATTATTCTGTATCTTTTAGAATATTAGCGTATTCTATATCTTTTAGAATATTAGAGTATTCTATATCTTTTAGAATATTAGAGTATTCTATATCTTTTAGAATATTAGATTATTCTGTATCTTTTAGAATATTAGAGTATTCTGTATCTTTTAGAATATTAGATTATTCTGTATCTTTTAGAATATTAGAGTATTCTGTATCTTTTAGAATATCAGAGTATTCTGTATCTTTTAAAATATTAGAGTAGTCAGTATCTTTCAGAATATTAGAGTATTCTGTATCTTTTAGAATATTAGAGTATTCTGTATCTTTTAAAATATTAGAGTAGTCAGTATCTTTCAGAATATTAGAGTATTCTGTATCTTTTAAAATATTAGAGTATTCTATATCTTTCAGAATATTAGAGTATTCTGTATCTTTTAGAATATTAGAGTATACTGTATCTTTTAGAATATTAGAGTATTCTGTATCTTTCAGAATATTAGAGTATTCTGTATCTTTTATAATATTAGAGTAGTCAGTATTTTTTTTAGAATATAAGAGAATTCAGTATTATCTAGAATATGAAAGTATTCAGTATTTTTTAGAATATGAACGTATTCAGTATTTTTTTAGAACATAAAAGTATTCAGTATCTTTCAGAATATAAAAGTGTACAGTATCTTATAACAAGTGTTCTTCACCTCTATGGAATATATTTTACCTACCTCAATACACCATTTTTGTCACAGGCAGCCTCAGAGATCCTACCTAAATCTACCAGCTCTTCTGGGCATGACTACAATGCAACAAAAGTTTACAATATATATGATATTTTGATTGGACTTATCAAGATGGCCAATGCCATGCAGTGTGCAAAGAGGAAATTTCAGCTCATGAGCGGTAGTATTTTTTTCCCATGTCCAACTGTCAGGAGATCTTTAATGTGTAGCCTACGACCTGGGGTCCCCTGTTTCTTGTCCAATCCAAGACACTTTTTCAACCTCCCATCCATTGTCAAAATTACTTATTCAAGATCACCAGACTTTCGAGAATAAAACCCATGTCCACCATTTGAAACCACCATTTGTGCGAAGTAACTAAGTAAGTACTTACAATATAACGACCAAACTGACTGACTATTTGAATTTTAGCTGTACTCTGAGCCTTGCCACTCAGCTCAATAGTAGGATATAATTGAGTAGGGTATCCCTAAAAAACAAAATGCACAAAATAAACAAGAATAACTTGTAGTCTCATCAATAATCAGTGGAATCTCCATTTGACATCCCTGATCTAACAAAATTGGTGAGAAACAGTTTATGCTTCACAATTTATAGGTCACTAATATATTTGACCAATCAAAATTCTACTGAACACAAGTAAAAAAAGGAATTTCTTCAGATCATGGACTATGCATTTATATTATCAACGACTTACCAGCGTAGATGTTCCATCAAAATTAAAAACTGCATCACCCTAAAATAAAGAAATATTACACTACAATAACTAAACTACTTTGGCAGGCTTGGACTGATAAACTGTTCTTTTAAACAACATTGCAATATATTGAAAGTATGAATTTATATTATCAAAGACTTACCAGTGTAGATTTTTCATCAAAATTAAAAATGGCATCGCCCTAAAAAAAAAAAGAAATATTACATTACATCAACTAAACTACTTTGGCAGGCTTGGAATAAAAAGAAAGAAACAGTCATTTTTTACAATGATAACAACTAAGGTTTGTTCAGGACCTTGAATAAGTCATCGTCATTCATAATTCCAGTCGACCCAGTTGTACCGTACAATCCAAGCAAGTCGCTGCATTCTGTAAAACAAGAATAGTGGCTATTGCAGTCAAGGTATAAGTAATAGCTTGATATTGTAAAGACAAATGAAAAAATCATTTGATGCCATGGCCTGAATCCATTGATATAGGTTTGTTCGCCTAATTGATGGTCACACATTAAGACCCACAGTGATATAAAAACAAGAGCCAATTTACCGTTTTATTCAAAGTAAAGTTTGGAGAAGCAGTTTTAGTGTTATATTCTGAATACCATTTTGTATTTATTTCAACTGTATATTTCTCTCCTGCCTTTAACTTTTCTCTACAAAAATACAACACAATAATCTTACAACAAAAAAACAAGGGAATATATTATGGTATAACACACTTCTTTTCTGAGACTAAAGTATGATTGGTCAAAACAAATGGCGCACCTGTCCTTTTAAGGAAGTGTGTTTCGGCTCATTTATATTATATATATTTTCAGTTCAATTCAGGTTACAGTGTTTTGTCCTGATACAACTAACCAATTATATTTCAATATACCATACTTTGATAACTTGACATGAAAGCCGAATAGAATCTTAGAGGAGAGTAGGTGGAGCTTAGCTTTGGTACAACATGTTCATTTTGATGTTATTCCAGGGCTGAAGCTCGACCCCTTTTTGAAAGATATGATGCACAGCTTCAATTTCATTGAATAAAACAGTAACATGAAAAATGCCATAGATTTTATTTATGTTACAAGTCATATACCACTTGTCTTACTCATTAACATATTTAAACAAACTCGGACATGTTGTTTAAATATGTTAACCCGTAAGAACCGAGGTATATATACTACTAATTTTATGCAAATACATGAAAGACAGAATTAAATAACACTTACTTGGTATGAGTTAAATGACGTATTCTTGATGAATTATAACTTGTAATATCAAAAGCTATTTCTACATCATCACTAGCTTCTAGACAGATTATTTCAAGTTTATTGTTGGTTCTACTGAATGGTGTAGCAGAGACATATAATCCAGTCACTTCTTCATTGGTTTTATATAGGCTGAAATTAAAGCATACAAATTTGACATAGTTTAAGCATGCATTACTGAAATTCAATTTTAAAATTTGCTGAAATAAAGCAAATAAATGAATTATAGAAATAATTTAAGTATACAAATTACTGAAATAATTCAAGCATTGAAGTATATAGATTACTGAGATTGAAATATACAGATTACTGAGATTCAAGTAAACATATTACAGAGATTGAAGTATACAGATTACTGAGATTAAAGTATACATATTACTGAGATTGAAGTATACATATTACTGAGATTGAAGTAAACATATTACAGAGATTGAAGTAAACAGATTACTGAGGTTGTAGTATATAGATTACTGAGATTAAAGTATACATATTACTGAGATTGAAGTGTACAGATTACTGAGATTGAAGTAAACATATTACAGAGACTGAAGTATACAGAATACTGAGATTGAAGTATATAGATTACTGAGATTGAAATATACAGATTACTGAGATTGAAATATACAGATTGCTGAGATTGAAGTAAACATATTACAGAGATTGAAGTATACATATTACTGAGATTGAAGTAAACAGATTACTGAGATTGAAGTAAACAGATTACTGAGATTGAAGTATACATGTTACTGAGATTGGGGTATACAGATTACTGAGATTAAAGTATATAGATTACTGAAAATGAAGTATACAGATTACTGAAAATGAAGTATACAGATTATTGAGATTGAAGTATATAGATTACTGAGATTGAAGTATACAGATTATTGAGATTGAAGTATACAGATCACTGAAATTCAAGTAATTCAAACATATAGATTACTGAGAAGATTGGAGTATACAAATTACAGAAATTCAAGTAATTCAAGCTAAAATTCATACAGCTAAAATTCAATATAATCTACATATAATTTAAATTGAAGAATACAAATTGTAGAAACTAAAGTATACAGTGCTGAAATGCAAGAATATAAATTATAGAAGCTATGTGTAACAATTTCAAATGATTTAGAAAGAGTTGTCATAGAAAAAATTACCTTAGAATTCCATTTCCTTCCAAATGTAAATTTTTACAATCCAAAATGCCATCACCAGAGCATGATTCTATCGCAGCCTCTTTCATTTGAATTCTAGTATTAACACTTTCCTGAAACAACAATTTAACCCTTTGAGTGCAGAGAGAAGATGAAGGATCTTATATTAAAGGGACGGTAGTGCCATTTTGGGAGGTTGATTTGAGTCTTGAATAATATGTAATTAGTCTTCAAAAGTACTAGAAATGTAAGAAAATTCCTTTAAAAAAACTTCAAACTAGGAATTTACTCACTATTTTTATGTATGACTTTGCACAAAGTATCTTAAATTGATGAATCGTCATTTTAACAGAATATTTTGGACAAACATGGATTTGAAGGCTCAAATTTCAATGGTGAGCTGCGAACACTATTACTGATTGGCTTAGCTAAAAATAATTCCCATTTCTGAGTCTAAGGTTTCTTTTTTGGTTGAAATCGATTTGGGGGGACCGAAAGAGGTCGGAAATTTGATTCAAACTTGTTTCCTGTATTTTGGTGAAAAAAATAGAGACGAGCAAAAAAAACTCAATTTTGAGCGGCTGTAATTAAATTTCAGCAACTGACCATCATTTTGAAAAATATCAAAATAAATCACTTGGAGGATTTGTAAATGGTGAAAATCATATTTTTACTAAATATACTTACTTTGTTAAGAACTCTGAGAATTGACTGAGTTACATGTTGTTTTATATCATTAATATTGGAATTTAAATTAACAGGAATAACCACCTGAGGTGCTATATATGGTACTATATTCTCAAATAGATCCTGTAATAACAATTATAGAGTAACAGGAATAACAACATGAAGTGCTATATATGGTACTATATTCTCAAATAGATCCTGTAATAACAATTATAAAATAACAAAAATAACAAAAATAACAACAAGAGGTGCTATATTTGGTACTATATTCTGAAATAGATCCTGTCATAACAATTATAGAATAACAGGAATAACAACATGAGGTGCTATATTTGGTACTATATTCTGAAATAGATCCTGTAATAACAATTATAAAATAACAAAAATAACAAAAATAACAACAAGAGGTGCTATATTTGGTACTATATTCTGAAATAGATCCTGTCATAACAATTATAGAATAACAGGAATAACAACATGAGGTGAAATATTTGGTACTATATTCTCATATACAACCTGTAATAACAATTATAGAATAATAGGAATAATAACACATAGTGCCATATCTGGTACTATGTTCTCAAATAGATCCTGTAATAACAATTATAGAATAACAGGAATAACAACATGAGGTGAAATATTTGGTACTATATTCTCATATACAACCTGTAATAACAATTATAGAATAATAGGAATAACAACATGAGGTGCTATATATGGTACTATATTCTCATATACAACCTGTAATAACAATTATAGAATAATAGGAATAATAACACATAGTGCCATATCTGGTACTATGTTCTCAAATAGATCCTGTAATAACAATTATAGAATAACAGGAATAACAACATGAGGTGCTATATATGGTATTATATTCTCATATACAACCTGTAATAACAATTATAGAATAATAGGAATAATAACACATAGTGCCATATCTGGTACTATGTTCTCAAATAGATCCTGTAATAACAATT